GCATTTCAAGGGTTTGGGTTTTGCGCTCTCGAGTTCTAAGCATAGGCCTGTGGGCTTGAGGGTTTCGGGTTCTAGCGTTGGGGTGTTGTAGTACTTAGTGTTTGGGCTCTTGTTGGGAGGGCTGCAAGATTTTTCGGGTTTCAGGGTTCGGAGTTTTTGGTCTTTAATCTCGAGTTTTGCTTGACACCGGACGTGTGTACTATGGTGCATACTTGGATGATGATGGCGATGGGATTTCTGTGCGCCTACAGAAAAGGGATCCGGGAATCTTCTTGATTGAATCCCTGCACCATGCTTCTAAAGAATCGAGCCGGAAGTGCTGCGGGCCTGGTAACAAGATGTACCCGAAAGCAATCATTTTCGTACGGCGGTAGGTCCGTCCCGATACAGTTGTTCTATCCTCAATGCGGCGGCTTTGGGCAGTCCAGGCGCAGAAGCGCTTGCTTCTTGTTGATTCGCTTGACAGGCCCGTGCGAAAGCTTTCGATGTCCTCGCCACTGCGTCACAGGAGTGAACCAGCTCCATCCCGGATGCGAAAAGCATCACGAGTTGGAACTTCACGGCCCTGAAGGCCCAGAAACTTCTCGGTTAGTCCACTCCCAGCCGAACAGCCAAACGACCACGCAACAGACTATCCTATGTCCTCATCTTCCGCCTGAGAAGTGACAGGCACACCTGTGTACGCCCTCAGCCCTAGACCCTGGAGAGTGAATGCCGGCAACTTTGCATGTGCCAATCCTTCATCTCAGACCTAAATCGCCTCTACAGTCGACAGGCTCCGAGGAAAGCAACTGGCCGTCCGTAGCGAGCCAAGTAGGCTGCCAAAACTTGGCACACTACACCTGAGGCTCTGTGGTTTGGTGTTTGAGAGATGGCAGGAATCAAGCCCTACGAAGACGATAGTACAGTTTGCAATACCGAAGAACAGTAAATGTTAATGTCGTTAGGCCGTTAGGCCGGTTCATGCGACTGCTATGGCATGTATGATTATAATTACATGGTTCTGCGCAGTTATATCGTCTTTGTCAGAAACTCGAACTCCACAACCCGCCAAGCCTTGGACCGAAACAGCTCGGGAATTTCAGACCTTGGGCGGTGCTCTCCTGTCTGTATCCTCGCAGAGGGACAGCACCCGAAACCCATGCCAGCAGCGTTGCAAAATAAGTGTTGGGTCCTTGGTCTGCGCAGTCTAGATGTAGGGTCCCGTAGGGTCAGGGCCTCTCGCTTGAAATCTATCGTTGAGGCTGCTAACGCTTTGGATTCCTTCTGGAGCTTACTTTTGGGAATGGAGTACAGTCGGAGTTGCGTTACAAGGGGCTTTATCTATTCCTATTACTCCGGCTAGTTTTGGTACGTTGCAAGTGAGAACTGTCTACGGCGGTTTATGGTTCCTGGAAATAAAGGGCAGGAAGCTGAACTGAGCCGCCAAGCTGCTTGGTGAATTTCAGACTCAGTCGTTTTGCCTGCTGGGTTTGGCCTGTTCTGGGTTTGCTGCACCACGAGGCGTGTGCCCTTTGTGCTGTTCGGCCGGGCTTTCCCGTGCCATTATCTATCCTTTGTACTATCCTTTCTTATTCCAGTGGCTCTAAATCACAGCGTTATATCAGCTAGGAGTCATCTTATCATCGAGCAGGCTGTGATGGAGCATCCATCTTTGAAAGTTCTTGCAAACTACGCTGCCCGTCTGCAGCGTCTCAAAGGAGGCGAGAAATGTCCTCATTCCAACTGTTGCGGCCCAAGTACAGTTTGAGGGTTTTGGAGTTAGTGCTTTGAGTGTCGGATCTTGGGGCTTCAGGATCAGGGTTTGCAGGGTGCAGGGTTTAGGAGTTCGCGGCAGCCTGATGGTGGATGTTGGAGATGATGTGCTTGTGGGTGGAGGGGGTCGGGCATGCGTTTCTTCGCCGGCCACAGAGGTGAGCTGTCTTAGGCTTCGGCTTACGACTTAGATTTGCACAACTGAGATCAGGGCCCGCTCTACACTGAACAGGCGCATAAACCGGGGCTTGGCAACAGCAAGTAGCCACCCATGCGATCGCGATACTTCCTTTGTTCGGTAACGACAACAACCATAGCACAAAGGGAGTGGCAAAAAATGTTGAGATGGAACTACGCGCACCCTAAACCCTAACGCCTCTAAGACCAGGCCGAGCAGGCTGTGCAGCGGGCGGAAGAGTGCCTCATCGAGGCCTTCCGGCCCAGCTGTGTTCCTCGCTACTTTTTCGGTCGTTCTTCCAGGTTTCGAAGACGAGAGGCTCGGAAGGGCCTTTTGGGCTTCCTAAGAGACTGCTTAGTCTACCACACCATATGCCCGTATTATGGCGGCTGAAGTGATGTTAAATGGCTTTGCTTTGCTGTGAGACGACTTGAAGGCCTCAAGCCGGATTGTTCCGCGAATGCTCTGTGTGCACAAGGCGTTTGAACAACAGCCTTACGTCCTCACACCCTCGACGGATTTGGGGTTTGGAGGTTAAGGGGTTGAACGTTGGGCCCTCTAAGCCCCCCTCACTTTTATCGACAAAGGGTTCTGATCTAGGTGTTAGGGTTTAGGGCTTTAGGGTTCAAGGGGTCAGGTGCTGCAGTCACCGGGAACTGTGTTGATTTCCGAAATCGAAGCCCTCTGACACAAACAGCCAATGGTAGCCCCGAGCTGCTCTGAAACCCACACCTTGACCCGCTGGCCAAAACCCCCAACCGCTTTCAGGTGTTGGAGCTTCAGGGCGCCCTGGAGATCAGTGAGGCGGAGGCTCACGCATGGAGGGTCGCGCCCAAGGGGCCTTTAGATTTCTGGCTCTTGAACCCGACAGGTCCGAAGCACACAAAACCTAGCTTCCTGGGTTAGGAATAGTAGCAACGCAGGTTAGTGTGTTTTGTGGGGTAACTGTGTTAGATACTTGGGCCCTTTAAGGGGGCACTGTGTTGATATCGATGTCGATGTTCGGATATTTAAGTGTTGTTTGTTTAATACGTGTATGGAGACTGAGCAGGACGGCTTGGTGTAGTGTTCAGACCTCGAAAGGGGTTCCTAATTCAAATCCGAGCTAGTCGGAACCTTGATTTGAGATGCACAGTTTACCAAACCGGCCCCACATGGAAAGACCGGAGCTGACCTTCGCAAGTACTTGAGTCTGGTCATGAAATCAGACCTGCAAAACTCCCGAAAAGATCGGAGCCCTTTGCAAACATCAACACATCAGTTCCGCAAAAGAGCCCAATGAATCAGACGCCTTGTACCCTGTAGCCCCTACACCCTGAACCCTTCAACCCTTAAGCCCTCATCGGTATGCCAGGCCCGGAAGCTTTGCTTGGAGTCCCTGCTCGGCTCTCGGGGGCCTAATGCCGCAATAATGCAGGCGTCTTTTGTCTGTTAGTGACGTGCTGAGACGGAGTTCAGGGCCGGGCCTGAGGGCTCAGGGTAGGTACTGTAGGGACCTTCAGCTTGGGAGTTCTGGGGGAGGGGGTGGACTTTGCGGTTTAGGGTCTGCAAGACGGCATTGATAAGCAGCCTCAGCGACTCGAGCCTGTGAGACAAAGATTTACAGAACTAAATCAGCAACTACTGAGGATAGCAAGGAACTGGGGGTTGTGCAGAAAGGACTTGTTTGCTGGCAGAGTGCTAGGCCGGCCATCCGTCCCACAAGCGATGTATCGCTCAAGCTTTTTCGCAGTTGTCCCTTCACCCTAGTCCCTAAGCGCTGACCCCCGGTTCGAGCCCAGGCACAAAGCCCTAAACCCGTAGACCCGAAATCCTAACCTTGTGCACTTGTGGAAGCCGCGTTTCTGCCCACTTCTCACCTCCAAGGCTCGGCGATTTCGACGGAGGGCCCCGCGCTAAGATTCGAAATCAATGCGAGTTTTGGGGGTTTAGGGTTTAGGAACGGCTTCTTTTGTGTTTGTGTATAGGATTTAGAGATTCAGCACACCCAGAAGCAGTTCATCCGGCTACTTGTTCTTTGAATTTAGGGTTGCAGTTTGGCTTTTCAGGAGAATCCCGAGGAACCTTACCTTAATTTGTCTTCCCGAAGCTATGGGGTGTGGGTTTCGATGGATGGAAGCTGGTATTTCAGCGACTTGGGAGTCTCTGAAGGTAACGGACCCTAGCATAGGATACTTGAGCACATGATGACCCCAAAAACCGGGATGCCCAGTTTTAAGAAATCCCCTTTCAGGCCTTTTGATGTCGAACCAGGGTGTTGACACTGGCTGCGGTGATACGTGGTTTATGGATGTTTATGGATTTGAGATGGCAAGCACTCATCCGGACAGAAACTAAGTCTAGGTTTCTCTGAGCCGCGGCAGAATTTTCGCGGGATGATTATGAATGTCCATTTGCAGAAAGGCAGAGCAGAAAGATCGTGGTAAGGGATTGGGAATCCAACTGGATAGATCGGGAGGTTAAAACAAGACTTGCTGCGATCGTAAGCTCGAGCCAGCAAGCCCGAGAAACCGTGCACTGCCTACACCAACTCTTAACACTGATTAATCGTATATTGATTGCAAGTACTAAATGTGCCAATGTGCCATAAACTACTATGTAGTATTATACGACACACCCTACATTTACATAAGTCACTTGGTGAAATCCCAAACCCTGCTTTACAACAGCAGCCCTGGCTCGAGCGTCTGTAGGACGAAGCCAGCCACCCTTGCGTCGCCTCGCAGAAAGACGCTGAAGAGCAGACCTGTGCCAAAGCACGTCCGCGCACGTGTCGAGGGTTTCGGGTTATGCGCCCCATGATCTCTAGCAAAATCAAGGGAGCCCGATGGAGATATGGTTGCTACGTAGATGGGAGCTCAAGAATGAGCTGCAACTGTACCTTGACATTAATTATGCACGAGACAGTCAGACATTCTTGAGACCTCCTTGCGAAAGCCGTTCGCGTCTTTCCGAAGTGGCGTGCTAGCGTGGCATTCCCGATTTCCCGTCATGTCGGTCCGGCGCCCTTCTGGACGGTGGGACTTCAACTCGACATGGGCCCACCACGGAAGAGCAGCCTTTTGCCATGGCCAAGCCGACGGCCGGGGTGGAGAAACTGGGCTCTGCTTGAAGAACGTTTGCAAAAGGCATCATAGTCTGGGTGTGCTGTAAGTACTGGTAGTATGCTTTCCTTGCTATGGTAGCTTAAACCGGCTTCCTTATAACACCAACCCAGGAGCCAGGCTTCCGGCCTCCGAAGGAGAGGCGATGTCGATCTGTACCGGTTGAGCGCCGAAGTTCGAGCCTTCGGACGGCGCTTTTCCTGGCAGGCCAGCTTGGACCTCCTCCAGGTTTTGGAAGATGCAATGGTGGAGTCGGACTCCGTGGTGTGCTCTTTGGAGCTTGCAGCTTTAGGCTGGGCCCGGCAGTGGGGCCGTTGCCTTCACCTTCTGAATGAGCTTCCGAAGACCCTTGTGGACACGCCGTGCTGCAATGCCGCGGCGAGTGCATGCAGCACGGCTTCTGTTTGGATCACAGCCTTCCAAGTGGTGGAGGACCTTGCCTGGAGGGCCCTCCTCCCGACTACAGTGTCGGTGAACAGCCTTTTTGCCTCCTTCAAGGATGGCAACAGCTGGATGCCGGCACTAGGGCTGCTGTCCTACCTCTCAGAGCACCGATGCGCAGCCGACACAGAGACCATCGCCGGTGCGATTGAGTCGTGCAGGGAAGGTCGGAATTGGCATTGGGGAGTTTCCCAGCAGCTGCTTGAGGAGGCGGCTGCCCGACTCCTGGAGACGGGTCGCCGTCACCTCGAGGGAGTGATGTATGCAGAGAGTGCAAGCTGGGCTCGGACCATGTCTCTTCTGTCTCAAGCGAAGCAGTGCAGCTGTGCAGGCGACTCGAGCCTCTACCGTCAAGGGATCTCCTCTTGTTTGAGTTGTCGATGTGTGGGGCAGGCGCTGCAGGTTCTTCGCTCCTGCAAGGCAGACGACGTCCAACCGACCACCGCAATGTACGGGGCTATTCTTGCAGCCTGCAGCGCTGAGTCCAAGTGGCCTGGCGCCTTGTCAGTCCTGGAGGGTGAACTTGTTCACGGCACATTTATGACTGGAGCCGTTGACGGCAGCATGTGCTGCTCGGCGATAACAGCATGTAGGGCACAAACTCAATGGGCCTGGGCCATTCGGATCTTTCGCCATGCTCGTCCATGTCCTGGTTTGCTCCCCATCGGTGCCTCAATCAGTTCTCTGGGACATGCAGCACGCTGGGCACAGGGTCTGGACATATTGCGCACTGTCGACTCCTGCCGGATGCCTTCGGATGCTTCGAATTGGGACGCCTGCCTCGGCCTCGGAGATCAGGAGCGCTCTTGGCCAAGAGCTCTCACACTACTCGCCAGCGCCCAAAGCCGGCACTTGGAAGCGAGCACTTGGAGTTACAGCTCCCTTGTGAGCCTAGCTGAGCGGGGCGAAGTATGGATCAGGGCGGCGGGATTTCTGGAAGGCATGCAGCAGAAGAACCTCGGCCGACGTTTGCGCATTGGTTGAGTGGCCCTCGCAAACCTTGAAAGGCAGGGGCTATAGTTCGCATTCTTTAGCGACTGTCTATGGTAAAGACTCCACGGTTTAGCCACCCGAGCAGATCGGATAATCACGGTCGGTTCGCATTTTCTGAAACCGTGAAATTCGTACCACGTCACGTTGGTCAGTATCCAAGGGGTGTGCGGCCGCACGTGGCCGGGTGCAGTGCCGTGATCGCCTCGGTCCAGGAGTTCCGACACTGGGAATGGGCAGCACAGGCGCCCAGAGGGCGGGGAGGCGGGGAGAGGTAAGGCAATGCCTTAGGCAGATGCTGATTGCAGGTGAGGGGCATGCTTTTTGGATGTCACGACTTATCGGGGTGAGCATGTTCGGATGCTCTTTGCGGTTTCTGTGCTTGGAATCAAGCAGCGGCAGAATCTTACTCATGCCAACCGCACCGTGCAGGTATGGGCGTGGATGAACCAGCATCAGATTCTCGGCAACATGGTTGGGCATTCTGCATTTGCTCCCCAACGAACAAGCAGAACTGAGCTGTAGTTCTAGCTAGACCAGGAGTGCTGGCGTGAAGCATATGGGTTAGACAGCCCAAATGACCGTAGCATTCCGGAAAGATCTTCTCTTCAGACTCCAAGAACCAGGTGCAGCACCCTTCTCTTTCCCAGTTGCCAAGGACGTCTAATCCTCAGATTTGTATCTTCCCAGCTCATAGCATCGAAAATTCATCAACGTCGAAGCTCCCGACCCGAAGTTCTCCGAGATCCCGACTGCAAGCTACAATCCAATAAATCCTCTTTTATCGCAAGCTCCAACCCAATAAAGCCTCTTGCATCGCGACCCATATCGTTATTGAATCCTAGAGTCCGAAGCGCAAACAGAACGGCAGCAAGCCATCTAGGCAGGGGCAAAAGAATTTGAAAACCCAGGCTTGAGCCCAACAGCTATTGCTCCAATGCCTTGGCCAGCGTCTGCGAGAAAGCGAAGGTTTGGAGACAGTCCCTGAGCGGCTAGGCTTCGTGCACACACGCTTTGCAGGAGGTTCAGGGTTCGGGATTTGCCACCATGCCAGAAGTGACGAAGCTTTCGTACCCCCCATCCCCCGCTTACTTTCCTGCGAGTTTCTCACTTGACTGTGCCGCTCCGGGGCTTGTCAAGACACAAAGCACGGCTGCAGCCCAGGAATTCTCTTTTCGGCGAGCTCACGCGGCTTCTCCCTGGATGCATTTTCGCTGACTGCCGGCGTTGCTGCCTGTGAGCTCCTCTGCTGATAATTGCGTGCAGCTAGTATCTGACAGTAGGTGACCAGTTTTCACTGTGAGGGCACATCGACATAGAACTCATGTAGATATACTGGGGGCCAGAAAACTCAGCAACTGACGACCAAGCCTAGGAAGGCCGGCCGGTGGGAGCAGTGTCTCCGATTGCTGGAAGCCGGCTCGACCGAGACGAAGGGTGGCCGCTATGCCTGACATTTCGGAGAAGAATTGTTGTTCATCCTCTAGACTCTAAAATTATACAGCTAGACCTGCAGAAGCATCAGTCTCACCCCAGAAGAGGCTCCTCGGCCTCGTCGGCTATGTCGTTCACTGCCGCCGCGGCGGCGGCCGCACGGGCGGACGCTTGGGCCGAAGCTTTCTGCCTGGGCGCCGCACTTTGGGAGGCCAGAACGACAGTGAGAGCAAAAGGGTTTTTGCAGGAGTTGAGGGGGAGGCTAAATAGCGGGGGTTCAAAATTATCATCCATAGGGTTCAGGGTATGAATATAGTAGTTCTGGCATTCGGGGGTCATGCTCGAAATCGCTGTTTGAGAGCTTCGGGTAATGAGAAGCTATTATGGTGAAAGCAAAGCCCGTTGCATTGCAGGTGCGAGCGTTGCAGGCGCCAGCAGCTGAGTCCGTGGCCTGTTCGCAGCAGCTATTCGGAGCAGTGAATGGGATGAGAAAAATCTAATGTGCGGGTCAGGAAGGTGCAGGATTTAAGAAGACGTTACGGTCTCACGAGATCCCGCACGAAGTGACGAATCCGGATGTTCCACATCCAATGAAACGGGACCGGGGCTCTACGGGGGCCTCTACAGCTCAGGTGCTTCATGCGCTGTCGCAGTCTGATGGTACCCCGGCCACGGCACAGCTGCGGGAGCATAGCTTGAAAGGGGGGAAGACGCATGCAAGGTTGCCTTTTGAAGTAGCTACCTGGTATCACTCGAATCTTAGGCCGAATCTTAGGCCGAGAGGGGTACCCATACATTTAGCTGCAACTGTATAGCAGATCGCTTTTCATTTGCTTAGTTGAGACGTTCATACGCAGGATCTGTGACATGTGCAGATGATTTCTCCCAGATGGCTTTTAACAACGCCCCTGAACCACCCCGGCCTTCACAGCCACAACCCACCCACCCATGTCTTTACGAACCCAGACTTTCCGAACTCCTTGGTTGAGAGCCTTGAGTTCTCCCTCGCATTTAAAACCCAAACAACCGAATTTCCAAAGCATTTCAAAGCCCAATATCTCGAGAAGACAGTGGCAGGAAGAGGTCTGAATCCCGAGATACCAGAAACAAGCAGAGCCGGCAGAGGTCTCAAGCCCAAAGCCCCTCTTCCGGAGGAGTGGCTCCAGGCAGTTCGAGATGAGGCATCGAGCCCGGGCCCTGCCAAGTACTGTTGTAGGAGAGGCTTCAGGAGTGTGGTGGTTTGGTTCAGGGATTTGGGTTTAGGGCTCTCAGACTGGGTCGTGGAAGTGGTGAGAGGGCTGACGGGCAATACACGTGGCATCGAACTTGGAACCCGAAGCATCGGCGGCTGTGCGGGCCGCCTCAATGCAACTCGTGGCCAGCAAAATACCTGCCAGAAGCATATATCGTGCCCACCTCGACGGGCCAGACGATCCGTCTTCCTCTGAGGCCAGCTAGAGATGCAGAGCTGGCAAGGCCGTGAGGCCACTTCCTGGGTCAGAGTTAGGGAAGTTTGATGTTTGTGTGACTTTACGACTGATCGGATTTGATTAGGGGTCGGGGGCCGTAAGTTCTACTCGGACCTGGAGGGATGCAGATGCAGATCACGGAGAGCGAGGTGTACTGTGCCCCGATTGCAACTGACAAGTTGTCAACGTCTTTCACTCCGACCACCGCTGCACAACAGGGAGCTTCTTCTCCACCGGCTGTTGCCCCTCGCAGCCCTCGTGTGGCCTTCCGTGCTGTGCTGGGTGCCGCCGAGCTTCTTTGGGAGGAGCAGGCAAAGGGTGGGCTTTGTTAGGTGTTTGCGCGCAACGTAGATAGGGAAGCTTGATGCACTGGAGAGCTGCACTGTTGGCAACGACCCGCCGGCCACCCGACTCAAGATACTGGATTTTGTTCGCTTCTTCCACGTCCTCTGCATTTATTGATGGAGACAGCCGTTGCAACGGTAGCAGTCCGATAACACCTTTGGGTCGAAACCTTTTCGCGCTCATTTGCAACACATGAGTCGCCGGCCCTCTCCGCCCGCTTGCACAGGCCGTGACCGCGCAGTTCGACGCCTGCCTACAGCAGCAGGTGCTGCCGAGTGCACGCAGGGCTCTGGAAGAATTGTCCTTACGTCCAGCGAGCAGGCACAGTGGGACAGTGCGTTGGGCTGTTCCCGATGGTTCCAGCATGTTGCAGCCCTAAATGCCGAGTTGGTCGAGGACTACCTGTTTATGTTAGTTAAAACCGAAGGCCAGGTGTATTGCTGAGGTAGGCCTTTCCGAATCCTTTCAAGTTGCCAGGTCTTCGATCCATGCGCTTTCTCGATCGCCCATGCTGGCACCATGGATGTTCGCAGCGTGCACTGACTGTTGCGGTGGACTCTCAAGCGCTTGGCTGCCACTGGCACGGGGTCCGGTCCGCAGGCCCTGCGGCATCCTGACGGACCTGCAACAAGGTTGCAACTCATGCCAGACATATGTGGATTTCCGAAACCTAATTCAACCAGACCACACGTGATCCTCTGCATATAACTAAATGAACCCTTCAGTGACCCTACTGTTCAGGAGCCCTCTCTCTCTGTCTATATATACGGTAAACTTGGCAATCCTTTCAAGGCAATCCTTCCAAATGGCACACTCCAAGGCCACTAACCCGACTCGTATTTAACACGCGGGTCCCGATGCAAACACGCATGACAGTTACAAGGCACCTCGGCTAAATGGATAGAAATATAGACATAAAGTGGTACAATCATGCTAGGAAGAACACACACACACACACACACACGTATGCAGCACTCTAAGATAATATAGGTATTGAGTTATTCATGACAATGAGGTTCGCTGTTTCTGCCGGGCGGGTTGCCTGCTGGACTGCAGCCTCCCTTAGCAGTGAGGGAGCCACTGCCCAGCTGGTGCGTGTCCTGGGCTTCTTGTCTCACAAGGCTCCAAACTGTCAATGGATGATAGTCTGAGTCTGACTGTCTTGGATTTGCAGTCTCGGAAGGGCTTGGGGTGAGACGTGGGAGATGCTTGTATCAGTGTTCTCGACTGGGCTCCTACCAGCAGAAGCAGACAAGCAAAGCCAAGGCTTCCGACGACGCATCCCAACTACAGCCGGATGCGACCACGGCAGAGACTTGCACCCGATTTTCGCAGAAGGGGACAGAGCCCCCCATGCCGAGCGACAAGCTTTGCTTGACGTTCTCGTCCTGGCTGATGGCCTGCTTTGCAAGAAAGCGCGGCTGCAAGCTGTAAGTCATACGCTGCGCCATACGTGCTACATACCTTACATCCATACTTTTTTCTTTATATATATACACACACCTGTATATATATATATATATATATGAAAGAGCTGTTCATCTTTATCGGGGTGCGGCTTCCCAGCTGTTCCCAGATCTGGAGCAGAACAGAAGTCAGCCCTTTCATCGACTCATGCGTCACATTGGGTTCCGTGATGTCCCTTAAACCTATCTGAAATACCCAACACCCAGACACTCGAGAAAGATGCTGTCACGACTAGGCCCTGGGTGAACACGGCGGGAGAAGGCGAAGCCCTTTCCGGGATGAGGGTTTGGGGTTTTGGGATGTTGAGGGTTTATCAATAAATAGGGCTTTAGGACTCAGTCAGAGATCCGGCCGGCTTAGCCTTGTGCTGAGGCAAGACTTGCAAGATAGCTTGGACAAGGTCAACAGGCAAGGAGCCCGGATCTTCTGAAATCGAGCACAAAAGATACGAGAGTTTGGGTGCTGGGCTTCGGGCTCCTGGAACAGGGGTTGCTTCCTCTGTGGGAATCAGATGAGAGTTCATCTTTCCAGTTCAGTTGACCCAGCCATCCTCTTGGCGTAAGAAGGGATCCAAGCAAGTACCGACAGTCAAAAGACTAGGATAGTACAGAATCAAGTCGTACTTGTGCATGACAAAGAACTGGCCTCGAGCCGAGATCAGCTAGCAGGGTTCTAGATCCGGGGCCATGGTAACTCGTCCGTGCTTCTCAAGACTTCTGCTGGTCTTCGAGGGTGTACTTTAACGAAAGCGTTCATGCTTGCTTTGGATTCCTGTTTCGAGAATAACACGTCAGCAGGTTCCAGAGCCCTTGATCCCCAGAGTCGCATACAACCACCACGCAAAGGGCTTCCGGTTCGCTTCAGTCCTCAGCTACTGGTAGTATACTACTGGATTTCGTCTGTTGACTTTTTTGCTGGTCTTTGATGAATCAGGATGGCCTCGCGGAGAATGCCAAGAGACTTACCGCTCCTGGACAGTTCGCCGTAGTAACATGCCCGACCTTGAACCCCTAAAAGATGCACGTTGAAATTGTATCCCGGGATCATATCGTGCCGTTGACTTACATGCATTGCCGAAGATGTGTTCGGCTGCATAGCCGGGAGCCTGTGCATAGTACAGCTGCCTTGCAGCTGAGGATCTTTTAATCCGGTGCAGAGTGCATTCGTTTCGTGTCGTCGGATTGTTTGTACCTAGCCTGCCAGAAGCGTATGCAGGATGCCGTGATGCATGATCTGCCCACATGAAAATGCTCGCATATTGCTCCGTTTTGCGTGCTTGTGCATAGTGCTCAGTACAGTCCGGCCAGAAGGAACGCACCTTGGCGTAATCTCGATAGCCGATACTAGTAGCCTGCCTCACTGGCCAACCCTGCATGTCAGGACGAGCAGCCATTCGATGAACCAAGGGTTTGCTTGCCAGAGCTCCAAGCGCTGCTGTGCCGCTCCTTTGTGCGACCATGTTTCAATGTTCGGACCACAGCCCAAGGCAAACTTGACGGGCAAATGCCACAGCCTGCCATAGCATGGCCCATGGGACCATGGGAGCATCAAGCGACTCCAACACCCCCAAGCCTGACCCGGAGGCCAACTTTCAGAGTGTGGAAGTGCTCATTGACGTGGAAAAACGGTAGCTTCTGAAGCTAGATGTGATTGGATGTGTGGCTGCTTTCCTCGGGTTTCGGTGTCGTAAGGGCCTTTCATCCGAAGCCATGGCGGCGACCGCACCGCAGCTAAAACTGATCTACTTGGATCACCACTACTGGCGTGCGGAGTGCGCGCGCCTGGCCCTCTTCATGGCCGGAGTTCCATTCGAGGATGCACGCATGGGGTACGAGGGCATGTACGCATCCGGGGCCCTAACCTTCGGAACTTTTCCGGCCCTGGTCGTGCCGGGAAAGGGCGTGCTGAACCAGACGCAAGCCATTGCGCGGTATGTGGGACATCTCACTGGGATGTACCCTAGCGACCCCTTCCTGGCTGCGAAGTGCGACGAAGCCATCGACGGCCTCACAGATGTCTCGGACCTCGTCACCGATACCATGCAGGAGCTTTGTGGTCAAGGTTTCAAGCGTCGATTTGCCACCGCATTCGTGTCATCACAGGGAATGCATCTTACAAACCATGCAATGCTGTCACGGATGAAATTCTTGGGGAAGAGTCGCAGTCGTGAAACCCTGAAGCGATGGATGCCGCGGTTGTTTGCTGTACTGTGAGGCCGCCTGTGTTCAGATGCTGAGGCTTTTGGGTTGCCGAGTCTATACCGACTCCCTTTTCTGATGAACGATCCTTACACTCTGTTGCGACTTCAATGCGTCTTTCCTATCCGGCGGAATATTTAGAATGGTTCTCGGGTATATCACAGACACAGACTATACGATACCCCAAACCCCATGGCATCCTGAAGACGCAGAAAGCCTTCCTAGGGCCCAGAGTGGACCCGAAGAGACCTTAAGCCGCTTTGGCAGGAGCGGGATCCGAAGCGGAAGATGGCCTGGAGGGCGGCCCTGGTGGCACCCGATGGTCGCATGACCATGCCTCTTGGCTTTGTATTCGGTTTAGGGTTTAGGGAGGTTTTAGTTTAGTTTATGGTTCTGTCGTGGAAAGCAGCTTAAGCAATAGAATTGGTCTGTAGCTGATAAGGAGAGAGGGACTTTCATTCTTCAAGACTAACAGGAAGAAATAGATGCCAAGAGTAGTGGTATGCATCAGGCGTGGTTCCAATCGCAGCGGCAGTAATACGAGTAATTATACCGAACGGTAAGTAATGACAGCAATACCCTAGTCGCAGTGGTGCGGGACGCATCCCTTCTTTCAAACTTGAGTCGTGATGAAGGCACTGCCGACAACGGGAAACAATCGAATCCGATGGCGCTTGGAAGAGAGCGAGCCTTGAAGCTTCAACGGGCATCTCACTCAGCCGCCCAAGCACCCCTCCTCCTCATTACAGTTTGGCTTGTTTTGTTCCTGCACCTCAACACCACCTGATGCCTAAATTCGTTCTTAGGCCCTCCTACACTTAGGCTGTTGAATGGCCTTGAAACGCTGCTGAAGCAGAACGGTGCCCGTCCAGTGCCCTACGTGGCTCGAGAGCTTGATGCAAGCTTGCGAGTTGTGAGGTTTCAGGGTTTCAGGGGCGGCTGCTCGTTCAGGGGGCATCGGATTGCGCCTTTGGCGTGTTATGCATTCGGAGTTGCATTAAGTCCGGTTGCCACTGTGGGTGCCGCTCGTACTTCTGAGCACTCCTCTTCTTGATTCTCTGCCCTCCTTGCATCACTCGCAGATTTGCCCCAGTCTCCGCTTCTAGGCTTCTGTTTGTGTTATCGACACTGTCGCGACGGCTCGTTCTTGTGACCTCACCGTATTCAGTAACTCAGTAACTGAAAGTAACGTGGCCTTTGAGCTGTGTCATGGGTTGTGCACAAGAACCCACATGTTGAGCACGACCGCAGAAATAATATCAACTGGGTGTTCCTCATAAGCCTGTACAGCAGCGCATGGATCGTTACTGCTTGTGCCAATCTCATGGACTCCTTGACCAAAACCCTGAAGACCTTTGAGAAGTCGACAGCGTTATGCTAAAGTTCAGAGCGGGCATATCCAGTTTTCTGTGGCTGTCAGGTGGCAGGCAGTTCACTAAGTGTGGCCGACCTCGCCATCTGGAGGGCTGTCGGCTGGATCTCCAGTGGGGTGAGCCTTAGCAGATAACTCCGGGCTAGGGGATTGGGGAGGGTCGGGGTCACAGAGCTTTCGGAGCCTCGGAGTTATTGTTTATGGCTTTCGAGTAGCCCGGAAGGCTTATCCTATATCCTGTGATCTCCCCAGCAAGTGTAATGTGTAGGTGTTGGCTTAAGCTTGAAGCCTGTTGGACAAGCAATTAGGCAACGGATCGCTAAGCGTTTTTGGCGCGCGTCGAACATTTCCTTCCCAAGGATCGACGGCATAGCTCCTACGTACATGCAAACTACCTTCCCGCTTCTGTGGGCACTGCATTGTGCGGTGGACCAGGATCCCAAGGCGTGGACCCCAGTGTCCCAGTGTCATCTACATAAGCCCAGAAAGCACTGAGCGACATGCTCGCTCGCACTCTTGAAAGGTTGCAGAGTGGAAGATGCGAAATCCCCATCACTACAAGCGCTGAGAGGGACCGCATTTCCATGTTTTATTTTACCCATGAGGCTCAAGACCTACTAGTAGCAGTATCCTTTGCTCGAAGAGAGCTCAGTGGATGCCAAGCGTGGAAGACTTGTATTTTTTTGTTGCTTGGTTCGGTACTTGAACCTCCGGTCGAATTTTCTGGCTGTTTATGGCCAATTCTCAGCAACGACCATGCGTTTGCTGACAGTGCTTATTTGTCCGGCTGGAGCGGTTTTCAGGTGCGCATTTCTTTCACCCACCATTTCGCTGCTGGCGGCCTCGTAAGAATGATCCAAAGGCAATTCATCCAAAATCCACAGCCGTTGTGGTTTCGCATTTCTTGTTTTTTCAGATTCTATAATATGAAACAAAAGCTTGATCTATTGAAGTTAATAAAGAATTATGATATGGTCGACCTTGCCATACAATATCTACAGCCGAAATAACGAGAATATACCATCATTATCATATAAGAATATTTCATAATTTAATCTTCTAGAATGCTCAAGTTCATTTTCGCTAAATATTTTTCGGAGAAAATTGAAATTCTAAATAAATTTAGATTTAATATAAAAATCTACTTATATCTCGCGAAAAGGATGAATATATATATATATATATTCGATATAAATATCTTGAGAGCTATATCTGTAAATATTTCTATTTATTACGCTAAATTATTAAAATCTTTCTAGTATTAATACTTAATATAATTTTATTGATTTTAGATGATTATGATTTTTCTAATATATAAATATAGAAAAAATATTCAAAAATATAAAGATAAATAAATTATATTTTAGCTCTAAAAAAATAATTAGAAAAATTTAAAATTAAATCTAAATTTTTCTAATTCAATTATTAGAAAATTCATAAATTTAGAATTTTATATTTCTAAATTTTTTCTCTTAGAAACTGAAGACTTTTCCTTTGAACTATATTCTTTCAATTTCGGGAAATATTAATCCAAAAAATATTCTTTTATACGATTCTAGGTAAATTCTTTTTCTTGAGAATCTGTGATATTCATCTCGAAGTTCTTATAGATTTTTGGAATAATTTTTAAGATTATCTCGGCGAGCTTTATTTTTAGAATAGGAAATCTCGATCTTTTATCTTAAAATTATCGATACGATTGCAATATGCTAGCACTATCTATTCGAATCTTTCACTTGATTAATTCGACGATAGAATAAAATATTAAAATCTTCTAATCATCTTGTTATTAATCGTATTTTATTTATCTATATGATATCTATCGATAAATTAGATTTGGGATCATCCGTCGGAATCTCAGCCATCGATATTTCATTTATCATAATATCTATCATTATATTAGATATTTTTAATTCTTCAATATATAATTTTATTATATCATCTTATATCGAAAAATTAATTCTTAATATGAATTTTCTTATATTTATTATCATATTATATATTATGGATTTATTTTCTTTGATTATTTATTCTTATAATATAATTTAATATATCATATGAAAATATGAAAATAGTTTATTCTTCAGCATCAAAATAAAAATATCAGAATTTAAAATCAGTTTTTTCTTCTCTCGTTCAGATTACTTCCTAGAACGCCTAGCCCCACCCACTACCATGAGATTCCCTAGACTTTCCATTTCCGCAACCCCATAAGACTCCCTGGAATGCCCAATCCCACAGATTATCGCGAGATTTCTTAGACTGGTCAATCTTACGAACTGCCGCAGACTCCCTGGAGTGTCCTACCCCGCGCAGACAACCATGAGACTCGCTATATGTCCAACCCCACAGATTGCTGCGAGCTTCCCCAAACAACCCAATGTCCCAATCTCATAGATTCCAATGAGACTCCCTGTAGTGCCCAACCCCCCAGACTACCAATAGAAATCCCTAGAGATAATCAGAAGAATTTCTAGAAAAAATAAATTCATAGATTATTATAAGATTCCCTGGAGTGCCCAATCATATTCTATATTTTATTTGATTTATTTTTTATATGAATAATAATCAATTCCTCTTTCTAAATCGTTGACCCTATCAATTCCTTGAATGCTTAGGAGGCGCGCAGCTTCTATAGATAGAATTATCCCTTACGCGCGGCTCCTTGAATCAGCCCTTAGGTTTAAAATCTCTTAGTACGTCCGTCTATATTTGAAATATAGACGTCCTGCCCTTCCATAAGATACCCTGATGCGCATTAAAGTTTAATCCTACCGTTCCATAAACCTTCCACACATACAATTATAACTTCCGCACCCATTTATTTAATACCGGCACTAATCTAATTAACTCTTCAATAATTAAATTCTCCGCTCATATTTCTCAAGAAATATTATTATTTAATTATATAAATTTATATTCTTGAATTATAAATTCAGATAATGTATCGTAATAGAACAATTAAAGAATTATATTATTATAATATAACGAATAGAATAATTAAAATATTAAATAATTAAAAAAATATAAGAATAGTGATTTTCGAAAGTAACTCATATTATCTTCTTAATAAAAAAATCGTATAATATTATATCGACAACTCTATTATTATTATTTATCGAATTTCTATTCGCATTATTTTATCAATATTTTATCATTTAATTAAAAATTAGAAATTAACGAGATCCTCTATTAATTTTGGAGAAAATATGATTTATTAATATTCTTCCTCCCCATCTAACTGAAACAAGCCTACGATAATTTGAATACGATATTATTCTCAATTTACGAAGAATTATAATTAATAGATTAATCCAATTAAAAGAATCAATCAAAAAATTCTAAATATGAATTAATTCCATTCTAAATTAAGAATTTGTTATATCCCAAATTAAGAGTTCAGTAGTCCCAAATTCAGAATTAATTCCCGAATGCACTGTCCTAGGCCTGGGGCCAATTGTGCACGTGTGTGCGTGCGTGTGCGAGCATGGTGGGCCATGAGGTTGGGTTTGCTTCAAGAAGGCTCATGAGGCAAGCTTCGCAACTTTTGCTCGCCGGGCACCTCGGCCTTTGGAGAGTAAGGTGTGCCAATCATGAAACGTAATCAAGTCAGAACACTCCAAGCCGATTGACAGCGACCAGCTTTTTGCTTCTTCGATCCACGCGCATGATAAGGCCAGCATGAGGAATGCCTGTGACAAGAGTGCGCGGGCGACATCTGAAGGATGATGGCCTGTTTGTGCTTGTCTGCGATGTTTCAATCAACTGACATGTCTTTAGCGCCAACATCTGGTTGCAACTTGCTCAACTGCTGTCTCTTTAGGGGTCATGGGGGGAAGGCGATAGGCTCTTTGTTGACGACCGTATGCAGCGACCTTTCGCCATGAGAGACTTGGGAGTTCAGCGCTTGGGTTCCGATGTAAGGGGCAAGGGGCCCATGGTGATCGCAATCGAGACTCACATCACAAACCAAGCATGCTCCGCCCCACAGGAAGGCAAAGAGATAAGGAGCCACAGAGCCACGAACAAACGCTTCGCGTTCCATGGAACCCAGAAGACACGACTCCACCCCTCTTGGAAGCTCATCAACGCAAGATTCCCAAATCCTATGCTCTCCAACTCCAGAGCATTCCTACACAACCTCTTAAACCTGATCCCTAACCCTTGCGACCTACAAACCCTCATACCCGAATATGTGGGCCCTCATAATTTTGGATATATTATACCATTGTTATAGTAAGGAACCGCCAAAATAATATTGGTAATCATTTAGGCCCTGCTTTCGCAGACGGTTAGGGCCGCCACTGCATCAAGGCGAGGCCATGCGCCGTGATGCAGATTCCTGTGGATTTAGGGTTCGGGGTTTAGGGTTGAGGGTTTACTTTGGGCTCCAAACACTTGGTCTTTGGGTTGAGGGATCCAGAACTCCTTGCTCCCGAAACGGCCGTAACCCCAATAACCCTACATGCCGTAAACCCTGTGCAAAGCCTCAGGCCTTGCCGCCCAAACGCTCTAAACCCTGGAAGCCCTAAACGCGTAAGAAGCTGCAGATTCAGCTCTCACCACTCGGATGGTTGGGTAGCTGCAAGCAGCGGGATTTCAGGGCCCTGCTCCCAAAACCCTCATGCCTCTCTACACCTGGCACTTCGACTCCCAATTGGGACAGGCCGGGTTCGGGCATGCCACGCGAGGTTCTTGGTGCTTATAGTTGGCTGGAAGTGAAACCTCTTCGAAAGGGAGGATGACGAGGAAATACAAAACTTAGGGCTTATAGGGTTCCATTCTCAAGCTCTGCTCCCTGTATTCTAAACTCCCCAGAGTGACCCACGGGCGCACAGGCCTTGTGGTGTGAACTCATGCACACGCTGTGGCAAGACCCGGGCCAGGGATCGCAGAAACCTCGGCAGGGATCCCTTGTCGGCAAATCCTGAGCTTCGGCTTTTTATGACGTCGCGTGGGGCGGAGCTTTTCCATCCTCCCGGCATTGAGTGCTTCGGTGTTGTGTGATTGTTGTGACTGCGGTAAAGGACTCCACATCTAGGCGGAGAGAGACGAGGTTCGATGGCGTTCTTTTGGACGTCCCAAACCGCCAAGTCCCTACTGGAGCTACCTTGGGAAGTTGAGGCTTCTTCATCGTGCAGCTGTGAGCAGGCGCGGACTTTTTGCAAGTAAAACTTTGTCCAAGAGAAACAGGCATGCTGCCCAGCCCCAGGAAGCTGCCTCTGTCGGGGCATTCTGGCGAACGAACTGGACGTACCAGTGATCATCGCCATCATTGAACCATTCGCCCTCATCCTGCTAGAATGCGGCCCAGCGCATTCATGATCAGCATGTCTTCGGCTTGTCCGCTTCGTCACTCGAAAACCTCGCCAAACCGATGTCTGATCTCGACAGGGCCCTGGAACTTGTATTCGTCGTGAAGATGCCCACCTGCGGGGCATGCTTGTCAGTAAGTTATGCCAGAAACCATCTGAGTCTGCAGCTTCGCTGGCGAATCATGTGCAGCACGGCATCACGAAGGCGGCGGTATCGGAGAAGGCCACAGGAGTCCGGCACATTAACACGGCCTGGTCGCTGGTCGACGATGGTCATCTGCCCGTCGCATCAGGTCTTGTTTTCTTCGGCAGCATGTAACAGCTGAAGAGCTCTTCTGGCGACGTCTGTGACGAGGTAGTCTCCAGACCTGGGAAAACAACGGTGTTTGCAAGGAGCGCACAAGCCATGGCTCGTTATGCCATCTGTTTGCGTGACCGGGCTCTCTCTGACTCAGTCTCTATGGCCTCTATCAAAGTACCTCTCCAACACTCTCTCTCTTCGGCCGGGATGGCCTGATGTGGCTGGAGGTTTAGTGGGTCTTCTCGGCTTGCCGAGCTGCAGGAAGTCATCGACGCTGACGACGGGAACGCCCGTGCGGGCCTCAGGCCTTGCCGTTTCTGATCCAGGCTGCAGAAAGAGGAAGGCCTGTCAGGGAAACCGATCCGGGGTCCGCAAAAAACTGGGTCCAGTCTGTCCGTGTTTGCTCACCCTTGCACCCGAGACCCAGCACCTATAACCCCTCAACGCGCACTGAACAAGGCCAGGCCTCGTGCTCCTTTTTGTCGATGGCGCTCTGATACCGCCTCGCTATGCTGCCCTAAGGCTTCATCGGCGCTGCACCCCGGTTGGTCGTTGCATGTAAGCCTCATTCCTACATAGTTTGAAAACTCACTGTGACCCGATTCTGGTCCCTCGGCCCTGCCTGAAGACGTCGCCGGCAGGGAGGGCCAGCCGAAGGTACAACACAAACTCGTACCTGGCAAAAACACTCCGCAGACTCGAAAAAGTCGGCTGGGTCCTTTTAGCTCCTGATATGACCAGGACTTCTCAACGGCAAGGTCACACAAGCCCCTTGTACGATGGATCTTGCACACATGACCTGCTGCAAAAACTCGATGCGCCCAAATATGTCGGCTCAACAAGCTTGATACACCAGGGCCCCCACCTTTCTGTATCCTAACCCAAAACACCCCCAAACCCGGAAACCCCTAAACCACCACCCTGAAACCCCCAAAACCCCTAGGCCCCGAAGCCCGAAACCCTGCTCCGGGGTGCTTGTGGCCCTGCTCTGCGCCCGTGTCCAACAGCGCGTAGAAGTCGCAGCGACGAACGTCGGCCCAGTCTACGCCGACCTCCTCTTCGAGCTCCTTCTTCGGGCTCTTACCTTTTCTGATATTTGCGGCTTTTCCATTCCGACAGTGGCATGATGATGGTAGGATTCCTGCTGGCTCCAATCATGATAGTCATTGTAGTCCTTATAAGGAAACACAGCAGGAGTCTACTTGACTCCAGGGGCTCCGCCAGCATAAAGAACCTTCAGAGATTCTTCCTAACGATAATCTTACCTCAGTTCATCTATAATGGCATGTAACCAAGCATTCTACAACAAAACCAGCTCATTGAAGCAACCAGCTTACTCTCTGGGGCGGGAGCTCTGGAGCCTATTCCTCTCGGAGAAACGAGTTTGGCTGATACCTTGACCTCTGAGCGCTTGTTTTAAGGTAGAGTTTTTGTAGGATTTAAGGCCCCGGGCTTCAGGCAATAAGCTGCTGCCCCAAGCCCAGATCCTTCTGCACGATGTGCAGCAGGTCAGGTGCATCTACGACCCCTGCGGGCACGCAGTGGAAGTAGCCTGGAAAAGCGCCAACGTACTGCGATCGTTGACCTCAGTTCAGGGTCAAGTGAGAGAGCGAGGCTCAAATCAATTACTACCCCAAGCAAAGAACGGGGCGCGCGCAATGCCGCGATCTCAGGTCTCTTTTTTTGGCGATGGGGTGGGCAGAATAAGATGATACGATCTACCACATCCACGTACTCAGAAACCCTTTTGAACGAGGTCTCTCTGAAGTGCCTCTAGCAGTATGATTTCATCGATCTCTCTAGCTTTTCAAGAGAGGCAAAGGCAAACATGTCTAATTACATAGCTGTGTACTGCCGCCCAGCTTGATCATTCACCAGCTGCACGCTGAAACCTGTTCAAGCCTTCCTGCCTCCTCAAGGCCTTCTGTGTTCGCCTAGCGGCCTAGCGTCGGCATGCGCTTCCGTTAAGGCTTGTAAAGACGCCACACCACCATGCCCTAAACCCTAAACCGAAGCTTCGATTCTCGCCGAGGGAGGGGCCGAAGACCAGCAGCCCATCCGCCGTCTCAGTGAGCGCCATCAGACCGCAGGCCCCGGAGCGCCTGGAAAGGTCGCTTAGGGTTTTTTTTGCAGGGGCCTTCACAATTAGAATCGGGTTTTGCTCAAAAACAAAGGGAGTTTCGGGTTGTGGTTTACAGCGGTGTTTGCTGAATCGCTTGCTGCTGTCCTAGCTACTTGAAGTGGAAAGCAATGAGAGCAGCATAATACCCTTAGCAAACATCGGGGAAACACAGTGTTGAACAGCTCACTGCACCAATAGGACGACGAGCACGCCGACTAGCACGAACAACCCAGAATCCATACCCCGACGGATCTCATGCGAAACCTCCAAGACTGCAAGGCTCCGGGTCACAACTCCAAGCGACCAAATCGTATCACCTTGGGAGCCTTGCAACCGAACCGCTTCCCGAACCTAATCTCAGGGATAGTTCCGTCACTTGCATGAGTTCAAGTGGAGCAAGAACTCATCTGCTGCGCAATGCTGCAAACCGATATTTTCATGGAAGTCGCAGTGACTCGAGCAGGTCTAGGGTCTAGGCTGCGCCAGCAGCCGCCGGGGCTTCTGCCGCCGCTTTCTTTGCAAAATACTCTGCCATGGTCATCACACTGTCTGGAAGGTGCTCGAAGTACTCGTCAAACCATTCCTCGATCTCCTCGAATGCCGTGTCAAAGTTGAGGTCGGTCCTCTTTCCGATTTCTTGCTTCGTAACGGACACGAGAGTCCCCAGAATGGCTTGGAACCATTTGTTGGCTGGTCGATCATCCTGAACTCCACATGCTGAGCGGATATCCTCCATCATTGACAGTGGCATCAGTCCTAGGTTCCCCAGTCACTTAAGGACCAGGGTACCCTTTTCTTGACTTTTGGCAGCGAGGCCTAAACAGTTTACAAGGGAGCTACAGGAAAAACCCAGCGTCTCATCTCTGCGTCATGCTCCCCATCTGCGGACCACTCATAGGGTGCTGGGGGCCAAATGAGGTCGCCCTCAAGACCATCCTTCAAGTAGCTCAGCTTAAAGGCGTTGTACTCCGCTTCCGCATTAACGATATTCGCTTGTCGGATTTGAAAGAGGACAGGGCGGCTGCCGACTCTTGCATGCAACCTTGCAAAGGGTGGCCCTTGTTAGGGGAAGTAGACAGGGCCCTCTACCCTACTAAGCCCTACTAGACATAGCTGTTTGATGCTCGCTTCTTCTCCAGCTTCCGAAGGGAACTGGGGCACGACAAAGGCCACTTAACCTACTAACTGCTAAGCTTACGAACTCCTGGGCCCCAGCCTTGCGTAGCTAAACAGCACGGGGGAATGCAGCGCGGCTCCGTGTGCAGTGGTGAACTCGCAGCTGGTCCAAACGAGATCCTTTTTCCATGGAGCCCTTCGAAACCCCGATCTTAAGCCCTCTTTAGGGTTTAGGGTCATAATGCTAAGCGACCATGCTAAGAAACGTTAATTGTGATGACCTCTGGAGCCCGCACGACGTGACGGATAGTAGCCTGCAAAACCCGCAGGACCCCACTTATCCGGAGGTCCTTTTCCTCGGTGCCTTTGCCAGGCACTGCCTTCTTGATCTGACCTTGGAAGCCAGCCTGTAGCTTGGTCAAGTCTGACTCCAAACGAGCGTAAGCCCTGGACCCCGAACCACACACAACCGTATAGTACTTTTGTAGGACCTACAGCCCGACAGAACCCTATAACTCCCACTCAAACCGGAAGGGGGGGGTCCTTCTCCTCGGTGCCTTTGCCAGGCACTGCTGCCTTGATCCGACCTTGGCAGTCGGCTTGGAGCTTCACCAGGCGATCGGCCACCTTCTTCAGGTCTTCCGAACTCCTAGGTGGCCCAGAAAACCCTTGATGAACCAAGGGATGGTTTTTTTTCCTGCACAGGCTGAGTAAGGAGAGCTCCACAAAGAAAAAGAACAGAAGGGTACATAGAGTTGGGGGACCCAGGCTCAAGTCCGAAAAGAGCTCGTCATCCTTGGCCTCCACTAGCTGCAGTAGCAACTTCTGCCGTTTTGCAGGACCTTGTCCGCTCGAAGCTGAAGCTGCTGGAGGTCCCTCGCGTTTCACTGGCCGACTGCGAGAGGGATCGTCTGCACGGTATTGGATCATTCTCTCCAGATCAACTCTCCAATCATCCAGTACCACGTGTTCCTTGGTGCCTGTTTGGAAGAGTCGAAAGCCGGCCTCCAAGCGTTCCGACTGCGCAGCAGCATAGGGTGCCCAG